ACTTTTTCAAATTTAGATGAATGGTTTTCCCATAGCAGACTATCAAATACCCCAAGATCCAGTTATGGATTAGTCCATTACAGACTATGGCAAGCAGACTTTGGAACAAAAGGAGAACTAAAACGAGGATCAATATCAGCGTGGCCTTTTCAAAATGCCGAGAGCTCTGACTTGACAGACACCGCTCTTGCATGTACTTTTTTAGACAGGTGAGAAAATGTACATACAACCAATCAATGTTATACAGCCAAACATGATGAAATGTTAGAATATGATCTATATGTTAGTGACAATAGTGACGCTTTTGAAATTTCGTCTAAATCCAACGCACATGGCACCCTTTAGCGTCAATATAACACGCACAGCTTTGTTCGGTTTTGGGTAGGTTTAGGTCTGGGGTAGGGTTAGGGTTAGACCACTAGGAGGCGCCTTCTGGCCTATCGTCTCATATTGACGTCAAAGGGTGCCATGTGCGTTGGATGTAGACAAAATGTCAAAAGCCTCAGTATATTGACGCCTTGGGATGAGAACGAGCTGGTTATTCTAATGTTGATCTAGCTTATTGCTAATCTCATACAGCCAACAAACTAACTCATATCAACACACTCAAATGCAGTTTAGTGTGATAGTGTAGACCAAGTCAAAGAGCACTGTGTTACCTCACAAGTTTAATTCGTCAAATAAATTGACCTGTGTGAGTAGTAATTCAGCACTTGCGGGTAATTCGGTAGAATGAAATGTCCTCATTCCTTTATATCCACGAGACTCAAGTATGGTGCTGATATCTGTCTCTCATTAGCAATAGCGACCTGCTTCATACCACAGTCATGATAAAAAAACATCAATGTATTCACTCATCCGTAAACATTATTAGATCCTTTGGCATGACAATAAGTTCCATAATTCCGCTTGGCCATCATCAACCTACGCCTTTGTTATTGTAAGTGGTTAGCGACCCCTAGTAGCGAAAACAATACATATTGTTCTCTATGGGTTCTGTACTTTCACTGCTTGAGAGACTCTCCAAAGTAATTCTGTATCATTATAACCATTAAAACAACTCCAAAATCCCTTTCATGAGGCTGGTATAGTAAAAGATCTTGGCTTGAAAGTCTTTCCTTCAGCAAGCTGGCCTTGATCAAGCCACTTAACCTCAGGCTACTCCTGGGGGACCGTCCTTGTCTTAACATGACATTGCTCTATGGCCACGCTGCATGGAAGAACATGAACTGAGTTCCACTGGCCTCAGTTGTGTGCTGATAAATAATGAGTCTCAATTTTTATTCCCCTGGGCTCTCTCCCGGCTATCCTACACATCACAAGACCCAAAACAGATCTAGGCAAAACAGTCATAATGAAGCACAAAGAGATGAATGCTGCAATCATCAGCCACTGATAAATGGCGGGCATAGAGCCTACTTTAGATGGCAGCCACTGCGCTTTAACAAAATATAACATTTGATATAGACTTGGCAATAACAGTAACTGTTTTATGGCAGATCTAGTCTCTTTAAAAGGTTTCAACACTTCAAAAGCGATTCCAGCTTCAACTGAATAGAAATTTCCAATCTTTCCTTGGTAAAAGTGCTAATACATCAAAACATTAAAATACATTTGAAGACAGCTATTTAGACTCGTACTTTTTAAGCCAATTTGATCCAAAAACAACAGGGAAGGAAAAGCATAGAATGCCCAATTCTCTCATTCATCAACTTGCTTGCGTTACATCAGTCATTAATAATCCCCCTATAATAAAAGCATGATTAGTTTGGTCTGATCTTGCAGTCGTGCAATGCATATTAAAACCTGAAACTCTCCAAATACACTTGACATTTCATACTTTTCAAATGACTCATCAGTCAGTTATCTGCAAAACAGAACTGAACAACCTGTCAACAATGGCTCTTTTTTCAAAACCTAGTGAGCTATCTATGTAGGCAGACTTTTAAGGCATCAAAGGCGCGCTTCTAAAACGAAGACGGTTCAAATGGTAGGCAGCATGATTGTGTTGCCTTCTGGAACAAAAGCTCAGGCAGAGAAAAGAACCCAAGTGCAAGTGTTCGAAACGAACAGTACAAAGCAAAGAGTCACAAATATCAAACTACAAACAAGCAACCAGAATAACCCATAGAATACACAATGATTCACCAAATCAATACAAGCCCATACTTCAACACGCAAGTACAACACTACACAAAGAGCACATATATACACTGAACAAAATTGTAAACGCAAAACTTTTGTTTTGAGCTGAAGACTTTTTCTATTTACACAAAAGGCCTATATCTCTCAAATATTGTTCACAAATCTGTGTAAATCTGTGTTAGTGAGCACTTCTCCTTTACTGAGTTAATACACCTCACAGGTGTGGCATATCAAGATGCTGATTAGACATGATGATTATTGCACAGGGGTGGGCAGTGCATCCAACCAGCCTCACAACCGCAGACCATGTGTAATCACACCAGCCCAGGACCTCCACAACATCCAGCATCTTCACCTCCAAGATCATCTGAGACCAGTCGGACAGCTGCCACAAAAGTCAGTTTGCATAATGCTGCGTTCCAGGCAGGTTTTTGAGCACGTAAATCACGACTTACGACTTTGTAGCATTCCAGGTCATTCACGCCAAACTACCTAGATGTAAACAAACCAGCATGGCGGACCTTACGGGGCTCACGCGCGTTTGTAATACTTTCTAACGCCAAAGGTGCTTACTCCTTGTTTATTTGTGGGAAACTGAGGAGGAAAAATAGCGCATGAGGCAAGATAAACTGTTATACTCTTTATTTTACTTTATTTATATATTCATCCTTGCACTCAATGGACTGAAAACTAGTTGACGTTATATTGTCCTAAAGTGTATTCTCACCGTGTACCGCCTGCAGAAACACTGCATCAGTAGGGGCTGTCATTGGTTCGCGGGCTATGTGACGTCAGAACTCGTAACTGGGAGTACATCGCTCTAGTACGAGTTCACGGGTGGGAAGTCACGGGTTTGACTGCCGTTCCAGTGCACTTTCACGGGTATAAGGTTGGAAAAACACGAGTTACAGGTTGCCTGGAACGCGGCATAACTAAAGGATTTCTGGACAAACTGTCAGAAAGCGTCTAAAGGAAGCTCATCTTTATGCTCGTCGTCCTCATCGGGGTCTCGACCTGACTTCCAGCAGGATAATGCACCATGACACAATGCTCGAATCATTTCAAATTGGTTTCTTAAACATGACAATGAGTTCACTGAACTAAAATGGCCCTCACAGTCATCAGATCTCAACCCAATAGAGCATCTTTGGGATGTGGTGGAACGGGAACTTCGTGCCCTGGATGTGCATCCCACAAATCTCCATCAACTACAAGATGCGATCCTATCAATATGGGCCAACATTTCTAAAGAATGTTTTCAGCACCTTGTTGAATCAATGCCACGTAGAATTAAGGCAGTTCTGAAGGTGAAAGGGGGACAAACGCAGTATTAGTATGGTGTTCCTAACAATCCCTTAGGCAAGTGTATGTATATATACACTCACCTAATGTGGGGGGTATATAGTACAGCTTATATTACCTGGACACAGCCATCCATTAGTATCCCAGACTGATCTCATGAAGTAGCGTGTGTATGACACGCCAATTCGTATTTCCATTTTTGGCGTGCTATCAAGACGCATAATCGCCTTTCAGCGTGTTTATGAACGCCGTTGACTTAACGTTATATAAATATATGACTTACCTCAACCCTGTACCTAAACCTAACCATCACTGGGGTTAATGGCATTTATGACTGTTCCCTTACCATCCTAGGTAAAAAAAAAAAAAAAAAAGATATGACTTACCTCAACCCCATCCCTAAACTTAACCGTCACTGGGGTTAATGGCATTTATGACTGGAGATTTGACTGCGTGTTCAGACACGCGGAATGACACGGACGTTAATGGCGTAGACATATACGCATACACGCGGATACACGTGGATAGCTCAAAATGCGTAGAGATAACACGCCACCTGACTCGAAAGTGGCGTATATGTTTACGCAAAAGTCATGATGTCATGTTGAGTATCCCCAACTGTAGACCTACGGAGACCCTAAAGGGATATGGTGATGAAAAATATATGATAAATAGAAGGTAAAATATTTCAATGCTTAAGCTTGCAAAGCCTTTGCATTCACTTGCAAACAACTAACAAATAACTGGAAAGTTGGTTATGTGGGTGAAAGCAAAGTTTCTCAGGGGAAATGCAAAACATTTGCGAGGGAATACAAATGCATTGATATATTTTTTTTTCTTCCAATTTCATATGTATCACTGTGTCCCTTTAGGGGCTCCGTAGTATACCCAATATTATGTACTATGTATTTTTATACCTATTAGAGAACATCCTATCATTTGCTTAGCAACATGCTAATGATATACTAATGAAACAAACAAACAAAAATAGTTCTAAAATTATATATATATATATATGCAATTAAATGTCTGTTTGCCCAATATGTGTGTGCTTGGTGTATTTTTATGCATAACACATCATTAGCTTACCAACATGCAAATCTGTGCACATTATGTGAGGAAGTGAAAAATGCTATTTATATGATGCAAAGAGCTGAATGTTCCAAATCAGTTATTGAGGTTTCATTTCAGATGCTGCTCATGTAGGAAGTTGACAGCAAGTGAGCTCACTAGGTTTTGGAATAGAACCGACATGGTTTTATGTCAGAAATGGCTTAGAAGCAATTACAGTGTATTGGCTCAGAGAACCACCAGAATAAAATGCATTGCACATTCTCACAAATCCACAAAAATCCCACATTAAAAACAAAAAAAAAAAAAAAATGTTGAAGGTGGTGACAAGTACATAGTGTCATTTTATACACAGCAGCCAACAGCACTCTAGAAAACAAGAGTGCACTACATCTGAGAGCGACAGAGGACTAGAGAGGCAAATAGAGATTGTGTGTGAGTGTGGATTTGTGCGAGTGTTTAGTGCAGGATGAAACAGAAACTTTTCAGTGAAAATAACTGAATTTATTTATTCCAGAAGGCAAAATGACTTTAGTGCATTGGTGACTGCCAGAGCTGAATAAATACAAGAATATACGGTCTATCAGGAGGCGATGATGGGTGAAGAGGGTCCTCGGAGGAGTGTGGTGGGCATCAGGATTGCTGTTCCAGGGCTTGAAGTGTCATCCTGTTGTGCTGCTTAAAACTGAAGCCCCCTCCAGCGAATCTGGGGCCGTCCGGACGCTGAGGCTGAATCGCAGGCTGTCCTGTCGCTGAGAGATTTCGCTCCTTCTCCCTGTAGAGATGACAGAGAGCAAAACACACGGTTAGGGGACATACAGGAAGTGTTCTTGAGTACTGTCGGAATTAGTCCATTCACACATGCATTAGATTTTGTAGCTACTTTGTGTGTCCGTTTTATCAGCGCCTAGCTCATAGGGTCACATTTTAAAGGGGTGATGAACTGAGAAATCAAATTTTCCTTGAGCTTTTGACATCTAAGAGGTCATCATATAAGTTTCAGAACTGAAAACGTACTTGTTAGTCCAATAAAAGCTTTTATTGACACCAGGCTCAGCAAACGACTCGTTTTTCAAAGTGGGGAACTATGACGTCAAAGAGGATAATAACAAGATCAACGCCTACTTCAACATGGCTGGTTTAGCCCCGCCCACCGATTCGCACATTACACGCATAGCTAAATAACATAGATACCTACCTCGTGATGACAAACTGGATCGATCTACCGAGCGATACAAAATATTGTGCAGTGCCTGGTTGTGGAAGAAGACAGTCGCTGCATACGCTTCCTCTGTATTCCAATAGGACTGCGTGGATAAACTTTATTTCTAATGACGTTCCAGCTGATGAGGTAAAACATTGTCCATCTGTTCGCTTCATTTCACTGAGGATTGTTTTGTAAACAAGACTGGATTTGCAGACCGATTAAGAGTAAAGAACGGTGCTGTGCCGTCTATATTGGATATGACAGGAATGGTGCAACACACGGACTCTGGGTCGAACATGTATGGGCGAATCATTCCGGTTGCCATTTTACAACATTGGACGTTTTTATAACAAGTTCCCCCAAGTGAATCGACAGGTGAGTCGAAACTCATTATAATATGCAAAACTGTTATCCACTCACAGCAGTGGGCGTTTACTTCCAAGTCTTCAGTGCGAGACGCCCATGAAAACCGAGCGTTTTTCAGCTAGGCTCAAAACTAGGGTACAAAAAAGCCTATTACTTATTCATTTTGATGTTTTTGAATGCAAAAATCAAGCAAACATCATAAGTTGACCTCAGAAAACAATATAATAAAATTTAAAAAGCCAGTTTATGACCCCTTTAACACTGCTACAGTATCTTGAATAATGTATTTTGAAATGTAATTTAGAAAAATGATCTAGCCGAATGATTGTTTCTGTGAATTGCTTTAGATAAAACTATCTCCTATTTAACAGCTGGCTAGTTTTATTTTTCATATTTTTAAATCTGAACATAATATTTCTGCTCATTTTAAGTTTTTTTTTTAAACGTTCTCCAAAGCTGCATTTATTTGATCAAATATACAGTAAGCAGTAATATTGTAAAATATCATTATAATTTAAAATATAATTTATTCCTGTGATGCAAAGCTGAATTTTCAGCATTTTTACTCCAGTGCTCCAGTCAAATATTTTAATATTTTGCTTAATATTTTGTGGATTCTTTGATAACCAGACACTTCAAAAGACGATCATCTATTTGAAATTGTATAAAATTATGAAATTATAAATGACTTTACAGTCATGTTTGATCAATTCAATGCATTCTTGCTGAATAAAAGTAATAATTCCTGATGTAAATCTAAAAGTCAAAATAAAATAAAAAACAGCTAATTTAATTAAATAATAAATAAAAACAGGAAAAAAGACAAAATTGCCTTAAAAATCCCCCAAACATATGCATTTTATGTTTAAAAAGACGCGTATAAAAATGGTTCAATACAGTCCTTCAATGTTCGTTTTAAATCATGAATAAACCAAACAAAAGAAGTGAGCCGTGGAACAAGCATCTTGAGTGTAACAGGCCTTTAAAGAAGCGTCTGTAACATTAATGTCTTAATTATGGATAACAAGTGACAAGTTGTTAAAACATGTCTTGAGACCTTGAGACGTTCCACTCTGTCTAACAGCAGTTAAACGCAAGAAAGCATCCTGAGTGTACGACCCCTTAAAGTGGCGAAAGATGCACGGCTGGTTATATTATAATCCCGCAGGCGAACATCCGCCTGGTGAGGTGAAGTAGCACACATCTAAACAAATCACAAATATATCAAGCGATGTATTTTGGTACACTCTCTGTCCTTTACACCTACACACAAAAGATCCACACACTCTTTCCATTTCCCAGAAGAAAACATCTGTTACTTTCCAGCTTCCTTTCAACTGTGCTCCAGTGATCATGGGTCTCTCAAAACACTATTATTCCAGAACCTCTCAAACACACACACACACACACTGCTCACTTTGTTTGTCCGATACCAAATGCCATCAATTAATATTCACTGACTGTGTAATGCAATTTCACAGCGGGCCGATGAAGAAATTTGCCGACAAGCTTTAAACACAAGCAAACACACAGCTCGTACAACATTAAGTACACAAAAATGTTGTGAGTAAGATGAATTATGTTGATACTTGGATGTGGCTCTCGACATCTGTGAACGAGCTTTGACTGAAACTCTTTGTGCTTGACAAGTACACTCAGAAAAAAAGGTACAAAAGCTGTCACTGGGGCTGTACCTTTTTAAAAGGTATGCATATTGGTATCTTAGTGGTACATATTAGCACCTAAAATGTACATATTAGCACCTAAAAGAGACATTAGCTCTTGAAATGTACACAATAACACTTCAAATTTACATTTTAGCACCTAAAATGTACATATTAGGATCTAAAATGTACATATTAGCTCCTGAAATATACACATTAACACTTCAAATGTACATATTAGGACCTAAAATGGACATATTAGCTCCTGAAATGTACACATTAACACTTAAAATTTAAATATTAGAACCTAAAACATACACATTAGCACCTAAAATGTACATATTAACACCTAAAATATTAACACTTTAAATGTACATATTAACACCTAAAATGTACATATTAACACTTATTAACACTTAAAATGTACATATTAGCACCTAAAATGTACATATTGGCAATTAAAAAGTACATATTAGCACCTAAAATGTACTTATTAGCACCTAAAAAATACTTATTAGCACCTAAAATGTACATATTAACACCTAAAATGTACATTTTAGCACCTAAAATGCACAAAAGGTTACCTTTTGAAAAGGTACAGCCCCAGTGACGGCTTTTGTACCATTTTTTTTTTTCTGAGAGCGTAGTGTCATTGTCATCTGGAACAAACGGCTTCTGACGATCCGAGGATTGACGTGATATTAACAACCCAGATCCTCGACCAGTAGAAGGGAAAGGATTTGCTCTGTGAAGTCATTATGAATTAGGAAATCACAGGTTTTATTCCTTTTACCTGGAATGAATTGCCATACATAAAACTAAACGGTGTCTAATAGCAGTTAGCTGTTTTTTCTCCTGCTTTTATCAACGGCCTTCATCTTTTACATCACAAGCACACTTGTTGACAGACGCTCGATCTAACAGGTCTTCCTCGGGTGTCACAGCTGCACACTGACTCAACAGTATTTCCAGCTCTGAATGCGGCGCACTTGAACTCGTTGCTGATATCAGAGAGTCACAGCTGTGCAGCAGGTTAACCGTACGTGTCCACTGTTGCGGAGTCGAGCGTGCCTTTCCAATGCATTCTCTATTGGAGCTGACTCGCGCAGGGGATTATGGGATAGACAGCGGGGAAAGGGGTGAGGACGTTAAAAAGTCGAGAAATGCTGGTGGGTGTCAGCCAATTGCTGAGATGAAGGCTGTGAATTCTGTCATAAGCATTTCAAAAAATCTGGGGCTATAGTAATCCGGATAGATCGAGTTTTCATTTTAAAGCGTTTTCCTTCCACACCAGCATTTTCAAGTGTTTTCCAAAAGTTTCTCATCTACATTGAAACGTCGGAAAACGCTAAATTCACCTTACAGCGTATGCGTAAACCCCAAGCGGCAACCTTCCGGTCTCTCTCTTGAAACCAACACGAAAGTGACTTTTCGTCGACTGACCGCTAAAGACAGGCTCCAAAGAGAGTCAATAGATCCACCATGTTTAAATGCCCAACTTTACAGCAGAAAAAAATATGTTTACTGCTTGGTGCAAAAAGTGGCGACTTGGACTCGACCCTATGGTCTCGGTCTCGACTCGGACTCGAGTAAGCTGGTCTCGACTACAACACTGAGGTTCGGTTTTTTAGTATCACTTTTTTAAGTTTCTGTTTGTTAACATTAAAAAATACTTCTAAAGCATGTATTAATCATGGTTAATATTGATCTCAGCACTAAAGATCTTGTAATGTTTTTGAAAGGGAAATTTGTGTATGAAGAAAATTTTAGTGTCACATGATCCCTTAGAAATCATTCTAATATGCTGATTTACTGCTCAATTATGCTGCATAATATTTTTGGGTAATATTCTTTATTAACAGAAAGTTCCAGAGAACAGCATTTCTTTTTAAATAGAAATATTTCGTAACACTATAAATAACTCCACTTTCATCAATTTAATGCATCCTTAATGAATCATAATAATAATAAAACTGTATTATTTTATTATTTATCAAGATCACAATTTTGCAAAGAACCACTTACTAATTACTATAAGGTATAGTGTGACACTCTCACATGATTATTTGTTGATGTTTTTGAATGCAAAAACCAAGCGAACGTCATAAGTTGACCTCAGTCAACAATATAATAAAATTTAAAAAGCCGGTTCATGACCCCTTTAACACTGCTACAGTATCTTGAAAAATCTATTTTGAAATGTAATTTTGAACAATTATCAAGTTTTAGTTTTCTAATTGTAACCCAGATAGCAGTAAAATAACACGACTCTTTGAACTGAAACAATTGATGTTCCTTACTTCTGATCACATTGGCCTATATTCTATATTGTTGCTAGGTGTAACATATCAGTTACGTGGTGCGATACACGCTAAACACAAAGATAAGCTAATACTTTTTTTTTAAATCTGAAGATATTCAATGAATAAGCACATACAGTATAAACCCATATTTATGTGAACATCAAGTGTGGTAAATTGGTCAACAGCATAGAAGAAATTGAAAAGGACTGACACAAACAGGCAATAATTTTGCCTG